GTCTCCAACTCGTGTCTCCATCTCATGTCTCCAGCTCATGTCTTCATCTTTTGTCTTCATTTTGTGTTTCCATCTCGTGTCTCCAGCTCGTCCAGAATGCTGCAGCTCGGCTCTCAACCAGAACTACCAGTAGTAGGTTTGAGCATATTTCACCAGTCCTGTCCTCCCTTCACTGGCTCCCAGTGCTTACTGGAACAGATTTTAAAACTCTCCTGTCGACCTGTAAGAGCCTCTTTATCTCTCTGAGCTGCTGGAACCAGATGTTCCTTCACGGGCCCTGAGATCATCCAATCAGCAGCTTCTGGTTGAAGCTCAGAGAATTTTCAGTCGTTGTGCCCCAAACTCTGGAAGAACCCCCCCCCCCCCCCCCCCCCGGACATGAGACAGGCTGCTTCACTTCCTGTGTTCAAGCCTCTGTTCCAACTCATCAGTTCTCTCTGACATTTCACACAGTGTGATCTGATTCAGTATTTTTTGTTCTGTGTTTCTGTTTTATCTTTAGTTAATTTTTCAGTATTATCATTACTTTTATTTTTCCATTAATTTTATTCTCATTGATGTTATTGTTACACACTTTGGTAACAGCTGCTGTTTTAAATGTGCTCTATAAATGAAGTTGACCTGATTAAACCTGTAGTCTGGGTTCAGACTCTCTGCTGCCCCCGCTGGACGAAAACACAAACTCACTTTTCTTAAAGAAAGATTTCTTGAACGGCTTCGACACGAAGGGTCGGAGGTCACCGAAGTCACAGCTGCAGGCATCCGAGTCAGGAAGGTACAGCTGGGATTTGATGCTGATTGGACGCTGGCGGCTGGCCACGCCCCTCTGAGCATGTTTGGCTCCTCCCCCTTCGCTCTTACACTTGAAGAGCCGCAGCTTTCCTGCAGTGTCCTCCACGCACTGCCACTTCTGAAAACACAAAGATCAGCTCAGGAGGCGTCCTGCAGACGCCGCTGAGCACGAGGAACGTGTCGGAGGACAAGTCACAGGGTCCAACACAACAAACCAGTCCAGAGGGTCTACCTGGACCGGTGTGGGTACCTGTCCGGTCTGCTGGCAGGGCGTCTGGTACTCTGCCCGCTGACAGAGGTCCTTCACCCGCTGGTGTTTGGGCAGGAAGTTCTCCTCCGGCGACACCTCCTTCCTCTCCACCTGCTGGTGGAGCAACTTCCTGCAAGAACAGAGAGAACTCAGCAGGCGTCAAAACATCAGCAACCTGCTCGCCCCGTTTTCATCCAACACAGAGAAGGTCCAGGTTCTGAACCGAACTGAGTCTTTACAAACCTCAGCCGAATGCTGGCTGTGATTTAAGCTGCTGTCAGCTGATTAAAGAGGCCGAAGGTGTCCTTACCCTCTCTCCACCAGGAACGAGTCCCTCCACAACTTCCCCTTCCTGCTCACCTGAAACCTGCAGAACAACAAGAGGAGGAGCATGACGAGGAGCATGAGGAGGAGCATCAGGAGGAGCATGACGAGGAGCATGAGGAGGAGCATCAGGAGGAGCATGAGGAGGAGCATCAAGAGGAGCATCAAGAGGAGCATGAGGAGGAGCATCAAGAGGAGCATGAGGAGGAGCATGGAGACTCAACATGACGTTTGACTTTAGATGAGGGATCTTCAACACAGCAGCTCAGAAACATCCAGACATTAAAATCATGAACAAAGTTTGAATCTGTTACTTTTTACATTTATTTTGTTGAATTCAATCATAAAAGTAAAAAACTGAACCAAGTTTTATTTATTTTATAAAGTGGGCTGGACTGAAGTCCGGCCGCGGGTCACCACTTCGATCACCAGCTGTAGAGCGAGAGGAAGATGAAAACAGCTGGAGGACACGTGGCTCTGTGTGTGTGTGTGTGTCTGTGTGTGTGTGTGTCTGTTTGTGTGTCTGTGTGTGTGTGTCTGTTTGTGTGTCTCTGTGTGTCTCTGTGT